CCTGCCTGTGGCAGGGGCGGATGGAGAGGGACCCTGCCTGGGGCCAGGGGAGCTGCAGGGCAGCACCGCCTCCCAGGGCCTCTGGCCTGTGTCTCTGGGGATGGGTGACGGATGGCTGAGCAGAGTAGCCCCCCACTGAGCACTGCCTGCCCAGCAAGGACACAGCTCAACATACCCAGCTGCAGGCGACCTCCATGCTGGGCCACAGCCCTTACTTCCTCCCTCCCCCAAAACTCCACCTACCTTCTACAATCCATTTATTTATAAAAATTCAACATTAAAAACACACCTAGGGGCCACTGCAAACCTGTGGAGCATGGCTCCAGCCCCTTCTGTCCCCAGACCCCCACAGCACACAGCTAGGGAGCAGATAGCCCCGTGCCGGGTCCTGCCTCCCCTCCCTCACTGCAGAGGGAGTGCGCAGCCTCTCTGGGACCTGGTGCATGGTCAGAGGGTCCGTGCCTGCTCTGCCATAGGTGTGAAAGCATAGCCCTGGTGCCTGGTCGGCACTGCGCAGGCAGGAGGAGCAGCCCCCCTGCCTCACTGCTGGAGCTGGGGGTTGGTGTGCACCAGCCACTCGATGGTTTCCAGCAGGTAGGCCATGCCGTAGTGCCGGGCGATGTTGTGGAAGACGTTGACGTGCTCCATGAAGGTCTGTGGAGAAGGGAGCAGGGAGGGAAGTAGGCGGCCCAGCACCCCTGGGTGGTGGGGGGGTCTCAGGAGGTGGCTGGGCAAAGCTGGTGAGTCAGCACAGCAGGGCCCCGGGGAAAAGCCATTAGAGAAGAGGCAGAGGAGGAACAGGGCAGCACAGGGCTCCGTGCTGGCCCCCTAGGAGCTGCTGGCATGGGACTGGGCTGGGCAGGAGGGTGCAGGCATACCTGGGAAGAGATGGTGAGGGTGAAGTCTCCAGCACAGCTGCAGTACACAGGCATGTGTGCCTCCTTCACGCCATGGCACTTCTTGCACACCTGGTAGCCAAGAAGTTTTTGGTGGACTAGGAGATGAAGCTAAGCCCCTCCGCCAGGGGCAGAGTGAACGTCTAGTTTCAGCCAGGCAGAAGACAGGCAGAGTGGGGGAGCCTTGCACTCACCAGGTCCTGCAGAACAAAAGCCATCAGCTTCTTCTGCAGGGCTTCCACCAGCGCTGCTTCAATGGCATTAGAGTCGTACTGTGCCTGGCAGCTGGAGCAGACCCAGCTGGGCAGCACCGACCCATCCTAGAAGCAAAGAGGAGGCAGGTGAGCACCAAGAATCCCAAGCACTGGGATGGCATAACTGGTTTCTGGAGAAGATGGAGCATAAGCCAAAGCCAAGGGATGCTCAGATCTGCCACCAGCAGCTAGAAAAGGAGGGGAACAGAAAATAGCCTTTAGGTGAGGCTGGTCACTGGCAGCAAGCAGACCTGCAAAGCAAAGGAGTAAAGAGAGAAGATGGGCAATGTGCTTGACCAGCCTCCATCATTGCCATGCTGGGGCCTCTGGTGTCCCCAGGAAGGAAGCTGCACCTGGGAGAGGGCAGGGTCCTTGCACAGGTCCAGGTCCCTGCAGAAGTTGCAGTTCCTGCAGATGACTTCAGGGAGCACGTAGGAGCGGCAAGGGTCCCGAAACTGGGCTTCTTCTGAGAACTCGCCCACCTCGATGAGCCGCAGCAGGTCCCGGCGCAGTTTGTTCACCTGGTTGGTTATGTTGGCATCCAGGGAGAGGACCTACAAGAATAAGAGCCAGGTAAGCCTGCCAGCAGAGAAGAGAGTGTCCTCACCAGGACAGCTCACATCCTCATGACCTCATACAGATGCAGGGCACAACAAACTGGTTGTAGTTCACTCCCAGAGGAAAGCTGTGGCAAATCTGAGCCATAGAAAAAGACCAGAATTTGAGCCCTGTCCACAAGCCTTCAAAAAAGGGGCCTGGCCCACCCTGCTGACCTTGCAAACGTATTTGATGAACTCCAGAGCAGGGTTGTTGAGCGGCAAGTAGGAGCCAGGCAGCACTGGGAACATGTCTGAAGGCTCAGTGGTATTACGAGAACCAGCCATCTTCTTCTGGATCTTCTGAGTGATGGTGAAGAAGCTCTGGGTGAGCTCATTGGCCACATAATCCTGCGAGAAGGTAATCATACCTAGAGAGATGGAGCAGGGAGCACTTGAGCTGTATGGTGGCACATGGGGACAGTAAAGGGGGTGGCTCTCTACCTGCACCAGAGCTGTCCTGCGGCTTGGCACTCACCAGGCATGGCCCCCATCTCCCCCAGCACCTCCTGGGACACCTGGCTGGTGGTCCTCCTCTTGACAGGGGTGGTCCCGGGGGCGTTGCGCCGCAGCTCCTCCTTCATGTTGTGGTACACGGCCACGATGTAGGCTGGGGAGACACGGACAAGGCTCCAGCTCCAGTACGCACCAGCAGCCGCCCCACTGCAGGCTCTTCCTGGCCCCAGGGAGACAAGCGATCGTCCCCTCCCTGGGACAGCTCACCCGGAGGGGACAGCTCACCCGACACAATCATCAGGAAATAGCTCTGGCAGGAGGCGGCCTGGGGCAGGTACTGTGCGATGTTCCAACTGTTCTCCAGCAGCTCCTCCACGTTGGGCTCCCCTTCCTCCTCCTCCTCTTCCCCTGCTGCCACATCCTCCTCTTCCTCGCTGTCCTCCTCCTCCAACACTTGCTTCTTGCTGGTGTCCTTCTGGAGTAGCCAGCAATATTGCAGCAGTTCCTTGTGCCCAGCCAAGACCTCCCCACTCAGCTCAACCCCCAGCACACTGCTCCTGGGGGAACTGAGCATTACTCTCATCTTACCTCTCCATAGTGGACACGAGAATCCACTTTTCCCTTGATGCCTCCATAATTTGCTGGATCCATCCAGAGCAGGAACTCCCAGCAGCGGGAGAAGGAGATGGTCAGAGAGTGGAAGATCTCCTTGGAGTGGATGCTGCATGGAAGAGACTGTGGTCACCCACAGCTTCGGTATCATCTCTAGTTCAGAGCCTTCTCCATGGGACACCACAGGGAGAAGGTGGTGCTGGCAAGGAGAAAGGGGTTCACCTCTCCCATCTGACCACTGGCAGGGACCCCAGGGGAAGCCACGCCTGAGGAATCTTGGCTCCCTGTGCTTCTGTTGAGGTGCCTGTACCATGGCTGGGATGTTGAGAGCCAGCCAGGGGGGAAGGTGTTGGGCACTGGACGTTTTCCTGAAAGTCTCTTATGGATTGAATCCTACGAGTATTCTTGGAATACTTCCTATAGAGGAAAGCTAAGGGACAGAACCCTACTCAAAGGATGACAGCAAGAGAACTGAGCAGCCTTGGCCCTTCAGTAGCTTTGCCAAATAAAGTGAAATTCAATGCTGAGGCCTGTCAAAAGGCAAATAATCACAGCATGGTTTGGGTTGGAAGGGACCTTAAAGCTCCCCAGTCCAACCCCTGCCATGGGCAGGGACACCTCCACCAGCCCAGGCTGCTCAAAGCCTCGTCCAACCTGGCCTTGGACACTGCCAGGGAGGGGACATCACAGCTTCTCTGGGCAACCTGGGCCAGTGTCTCACCACCCGCACAGGAAAGAATTTCTTCCTAATGTCTAATCTAAATCTGCCCTCTCAGTCTGAAACCATCATTCCTCATTCTATCACTGCATGCCCTTGTAAAACCAGCATCATCCTTCCTGGCCCCGAGCCCTGCCTTGGCTCCATCATCCAGGAGATGCATCTCCAGGCCCAGCTCAGCAAGCGCGCCCCACCTGTTGATGATGTACTCCATGTAGCTGATGGCGTCCTTGATGCGCCGCTTCTTGGTGCACAGAATGATCCGGTTGAAGTTGGCATAAACCACCGAGGCGCCCAGACGCTTGAACTCGGCCACCAGCCTGCAGACAGGGCACAGAGCGGGAGTCAGGGCACAGGGAGGCAAAGCCCGAGGAGCAGATGCAACCTGCGGAGGATGCCATGATCCCGCAGTCAGCAGTCAAGCACATTAGTGATGCTAAGCACAGGAGCTCACCCAGACATTATGGAAGGTCCAACCTCTGCCTACCTCTCTGAAGACTGTGGCAGAGAGGAGTGACTGTGGGTGCCAACAGCATCCTGGTCACTAACGCCATGCCTGCCCCTTTCCCATTCACCAGCCTGCTTGTTTCAGGTCTCACTTACTGCAGGAAAATCTTCTTCATCATGTTATGGAGTGTGCGGTGCAGCGCCGGGTCATAGAGCAGGGAGGAAGGAGAACGGAGCCAGCGGTAGAAGTGAATGACCTGGTTGTCTGCGTAGATGTTGTGGTACTGTGTGATCTCCTTCACCCAGCTCACCACCATGCTCTTCAGGATCCTACCAGGGATCAGAGACCAGTATCACCCCACAAGCCCTGAGTGACCCCTTCCGTTCTCGAGACAGGGACACGTTTTCCGATACAACAGAGGATTCAGAGCAGAAACTCTGCCAGATGTGTGAGCTCTCAGCACATAAGCCACAGGGTAAATATGTGCCTCTATAACCTGGTGGAACATGAGGAAAGGAGAAACAGGAAAGGGCAAAGACTTCACCAATACCCCCATACAGCTGCTGGCTGAGCCACCAGGCAGTTCTGAGCCCAGGATCTTCAAATGTCTGTTGGAGAAGATGCCAGCCCTTCACTTCCAGACCTGAATTTATATTTAGAGCATCCCACAAACCCCATTGCTGGCACAAGTCTGGGAAAAGCTAGAGCCAGGAGGGAATGAGAGGCAGGGCCCCCAAGGGGACCTGCTAGGATGGAGACCAGATGCTCCAGCTCTTGCTGGCTCCTAGAGCCATACCTGAAAGTGTTGGAGCAGAGGGCGGTTTCGTCATAGCTGGCTGGGATGTTGGCAGCTTGGTTCCCTGTCACCATGTCTTCTAGGGATGCCTGCTGAATCACGTCAAAGCTGATGCTCATGCTGGACCCTCCTTCCATGTCGTTTACATGGTGGGACTGCAACACCGTGTTCACAGCCAGGCTCTGGATGTCCAGCTCCAGACACACTAACAGTAAACACAACCTCTCAGCAGGCAGGCAGGGCAGGGGACTGACAAGGACACCCTCCCTGCCCCTCTGCCAGAAGTGCCTTTCACAGTTGTGATCACCCTTTCACACGGGTGATCTATTGGTGTTGCTGCACTGAGTGGGGAGATGCTTTCACAGCCATGAATGCCTTGACTGGCACTTGTCTTCCAACACGATCTGGACCTACTAACCCGCTGAGGACCACCAGTTTTTTGTGGAAGCTGCAGCAGAGGAGCTCGGAAGAACTGACTATCACTTAAGCTGCTTCTGTCTCTGAGAAAGACCTGTCCTAGGGTCAGCAGGGATGACCAGCTGAGCTCCTCTGTCCTTGGGCTGACACACCGCAGGTTGTTTTCTGAGTGCTGCTATTGGCAGCCATGAATTGGGAAAGAATCTGCATTCGTATGCCCGCTCACATTGCAGATGAGACCTCCCTGCCCCAGGACGTGCCCCTTGCATGCACCTTGCCTAGATTGCTGCTGAAATGAGAAAGCTGCTCGTGACTATGGGCAACACAGAGACTCTTTGGAGACCACATCCATCCCTCTACAGGGTTTGCAGAGCAGGATCGATCCAGCTTCACCCATGCTCTGCGCTCACACCCAACTCCCTCCTCACCTGTGGAGTAGCACCCAGGGTTGTTTATCTCCACAGAGGCTTTCTCATCAAACTCCATGACGAGGCGGTTGTCATCGGCCTCCTTACCCCCCAGGTCTGGGCGGGCTGTGAGCGACAGCCAAAGCAAGTGGTTGTGACGACGGAGGTGGCGTGAGAAGAAGAGGTCAGAGCCGAAGGTGGAGATGTCATCAGGGAGGTTCCCAATGGGGATGTGGTAGTACCTAGGGCACAGAGAGGTGAATGGTCACCAGGGTCAGCACAGCTGCAGAGAAGACACGGACTCCTGCCTGGGACAGGGGACAAGCAGCCTCCTGTGGTCCCATCAAGGGCATGGGGAACGCAGTTGGCCCTAGGTACCTGCTCATCTCGAAAGCCTGGGAGAGGCAGGTGTCCAGGTTGAGGTAGTGGCGGATCATGCGGCGAGCAGCATGGCGCTGCCAGTCCAGGACCGAGTAGCTGATGTCATCTACCAGCCGGATGGGGACTAAGGGGAACTCTTCAATGATGGGGATCCCACTCGCCAGCCCTTTCAGGTCCCAGTTAGACCAATGATGGGGACCCCCCTCGCCAGCCGTTTCAGGTCCCAGTTAGACTGCACTGCCACCAGTGTGGGGCCCCGGCGCTCGTCCTGCACCAAGGAGAAGAGGACACATCCTGGTGCACCCCTCCATTGAGTGCCTCTGATTTTTTTTTGAAACTGGCAGTGCTGCATGCCCTGTCCCCACAGCAGGTTCCCACAATGGGGACAGCACACCTCAGCACTCCTGAAGCACCCATCTCCATGAAAGCAGCTCTCTAGCTGAGTGCAAGGATGGGGGGAGATACTGAGGTAGCCTCACCACTGGCACTGCCCTAGGCAAGCCAACCCAAGCAAGACAAAGCCTTTGAGCAACACCCACTTCTACCCTTGTCCTTCGGGCCAGCAGCTACGTGCAGGCGCTGCTGAAACTGGTGCACCAGTGCCTTCCCCAGCATCCTCTCCTTCTCACGTGCCTGCATGGATGGGGTCCCACAGGGACCTTCTTCACACCTTCATCTCACCTTGTAGCCCAGCAGCAGCCGCTGGATGGCTCTGTAGATGGCCTTGGGGTCTGTCTCAGCACGCACTTCGAAGGTGTGCTTGTCTGGGGGAAGCAGCTCTTCACCCACCTTTTCCAGAAGTGCACTGCGCTCTGCCGAGAAGAGGGTGGTGAGATTCGGCATCTGGTTGCTGCGTACCTGCGCCCAAGGAAGGAAGCTTTAAAGGTCATCTAGTCCAACCCTCCTGCCATCAGCAGGGACATCTTCAATTAGATCAGGTTGCCCAGAGCTCTGGCTAACTTGACCTTGAATGTTTCCAGGAATGGGGCATCTACCACCTCTCTGGGCAACCAGTGTCAGTGTCTCATCACCCTCATCATAAAACATTTTGCGCTTTTATCTAGTCTGAATCTCCCCTCTGGCTTAAATAATTTTAACGGTTTAAAACCATTACCCCTTGTCCTATCGCTACAGGCCCTACTAAAAAGTTCATCCCCATCTTTCCTGTAGTCCTTTCAGGTATAGGAAGGTTGCTCCAAGGTCTCCCTGGAGCCTTCTCTTCTCCAGGCTGAACAATCCCAACTCTCTCAGCCTGTCCCCACTGGGGAGGTGCTCCAGCCCTTTGATCATCTTTGTGGCCTCCTCTGGACTCACTCCAACAGCTTCATGTCCTTCTTATATTAAAGGTCCCAGAACTGGACGCAGTACTGCAAGTGGGGGGTCTCACGAGAGCAGAGTAGAGGGGCAGAATCCCCTCCCCTCACCCTGCTGGCCATGGTGCTTTTGGTGCAGCCCAGGATATGCTTGGCTTTCTGAGATGCAAGTGCACATTGCTGGCTCATGTCCAGCTTTTCATCCCCCAGCAACCCCAGTCCCCCAGCCTTACCTTGTCCAGCACAAAGACGGCAGCTTTGCGCTGTGAGGGGATGAAGAGGCCCAAGAGCGCCTTGCTGCCCTGGGCACTGTGGTAGAGGTAGATGTGGCGAATGCTTCCTAGGGACACAGAGCATAGAGCATCAGTGGTACTCACAGACACTGGGTGCCCCAGGAGCCCCTCTCCCAGGGTGCCTTACCTGGCTCCAGGTAAGCAAACTGGGCCAGTGAGCGCATCTCCAGCTGCTCAATGTCAAAGGTTTCAGCCTCTCGCCCTGTCAGGTGCCTGATGAGCTGCCTACTGACCATGCATACGCAGCCCAGGTGGATCAGGGCACGGAGGAGGAGCGGCACCTGGAATGATGGGGAGATGTGGTGAAACAGCCTTCTGCTACCAAACTCCTTTTGGGGGTTTCAGACCTAAAACAACCTGGCTTAAAAACCACAGGCAGGATATACCTGCAGTGCCTCCAGCATGAGTTTGGTATTATCACCCTTGCCAGTGCTGGAGATGCAGAACAGCTATCTTAATTCTTAATTCACATGTGTTCCTATCGAGCCCCAGATCCAGCAGCAGGTACTTTGGGGGAGATGTGGAGTGATATCTGGGCAGTCATGCAGCTCTGCAACTTGTGGTTTGCCACTTCCTTGAGACAAAGGCTTCCTCTGAACCACCAGATAAATGGCACAGTAGAATATCCACCACTGATTTGCTCTGTCTTACTAACTCTACAGCTGCAAACTCCTGAATGACTTGCTGTGGAACCTAGTCCCAGACAGTGAGATGCAATAAACACCCCTTGCCTAATCATGCTTCCCTCATGCCAGTTTTGATTTTATGGACCCCTAATGCCTCCCATTTTCAGATCTCTTTAGCAAGCCAAAGCACTCCCCTGTCCCTGAGTCCCATTCCTCCAAGGAAGCCACTCCCTCCCTCACATCCTCCTCATCATTTTCCTTCCTTAGTCCTGCTACATGTTTTGGAGACCATGTTCAGAATTGCACTGCAGATGTTTAAAGGTCAAGAGAGATGCTTTCCTTGCCCGGGGCTGTGTCCAGCTGGGCTCTCTGTATCTCTGAGGATGGAAACACCACAATCTGGGCAACCTGCTTGACCACCCTTGTCCTACTTAGGCAAAGACTTCTGATCCATGATAATGCTATACTGCATTCAAGTAGCAAATTCACTTGCCTTTAATCTGTCTTTAACATATACCTCTACTTTTACAATGGTGCAACCTACTCTACCACTTCCATATGTCAGGCCCTGACACCATGATGTCTCATTGATTAAATTCCTGACACCAGGTTTGAGCTGCTGAACAAACCAGTGTCCTCATTAGAACCAGGCATCCCAGTTTCCTGTCTCCATTTTCAGGCTTTCAGCATTAATAGAACTGGTAAATTTAATTTTGGCTTGATTGCTTTGTACTGAACTTCATGTAGGTTGTTTTCGCTCTTCCTTTCTTTCTTTCTTTCAAGTTATATCCTGTTCTTCTTTCTAAAGTTGTTATAACCTTCTTTTAGAGGACAGGGCACTCAGACCTGTGTACAACTCTACACATTGGGTTTTCCCTCATCTTTACCCCTTTTACGGTTCAAACACAAGCAGGCTGGTTCTGGTTTGGTTTGGAGGAAGACCACCCTTTCTGCTCAAATGCTTTCTTTCTCAAAAGTTTCCCAAGTCCAAATAAACCAACTCCCCTTTCCCTGATGTGCTTTAAACCATGCCGACATGTGGTATTGCTGCCCATATGACCATAGGTATATTCCCGAGTACTCAGCTGTGCAGTGTCATTGATTTTTGGTGTCTCACAAAGTTGTTGATTTTCAAGTGCCAGGTGTCCTCCTGTGCCACTGGCACTCAGACTAACAAGCTACCACTCAGCTATCCTTAAAGATGAGCATCTGGATGTTACCTGCGTCTCATACACCCCCTCGATGTCCGGAGCAGAGAGGTCCGCATTGATTTCATTGATGTGCTCCTGGTACATGTCTTCAGAGACAGAGTATTCATACAGGTTGTAAACTAAGTTTGAGCGGGGCAGGATCCTGTTCACCTGCCAAGGCAAGGGACACGCTTAGGAGGGCACGTCACACCAGGTGGCACCACTGCTGGGAGCTAGGGCATCTCTAAGGGCTGCAAGGAGCTAGGGTCTGAGCCAGCCCAGCTCCCGGCACTCCTCTCTCCTAAGGAAAGCAGTGGTTTATGCTCATGCATGTTGCAAACTCCCACAATAGAGAACCTGCTGTCTGAGCAGGCTGGGATTAGCAGAGGAACCAGGGACTGGATGAGGTGCATCCATGGGGTGGGAGAGCAAGGCCCTGTAAGGCAGATGTTTGTAATATCTGCTTGCAGCAGAGCAGAAGCATCTTATCACAATGTACATGGCTGTTTCCCCTTCCAGAAGGGGCAGGTCCTCACCTTCTTGTAGGCTGTTCCCTCCTCTGGCTTTGGGACACGTTGGTTGACGTAGAAGACTCGGGGGATGCTAAGCCTGATGCAGTGGAGGTCGCTCCCAATCACTGCCCACAGCCTGAACAGCCCGGGCTGGCTGGTCTCAGCGATCTGCAGGACATGGGGGTAACAAAGAAAACGTTAACATGGAGATCTGACATGTTACTGGTGTTTACAGCTAAGTTGCATAGCACTTCGTGGAACTACATGGACAGCTGGTGGCCACGAAGAGAGTAGGGGGCTTAAAGAGTCACCAGTCACAGCGCTGGAGTCCCTATGTCCTGCTACTGGCAGATCTACATGCATGTCCCAGATTGCCCACCAAGAATGACCCTGTAGGCTCCTGTTTCCATACAGACATACATGAGCCCGAGGCTTTGTAGCCCCACCCAGCCTCCCCAGGGTTAACACCAGAGTGGCACTGGGGTCAGCAGTTCCTGAGCATCACCGTTTGACCACAGATAGCGTAGATGCGAGGCTTACACCTCAAGCTGCCGTTCATGGCAAGTTCCCTCCCTGGTACCTGCACAATCTGCCAGGGCAAGTCCAAGATGCTGCGCGCCGTCCTGCGCAGGTAGCTGCTCAGCCCCTTGGAGAGGGCATCGCGGACCGCTCCTCCACCCGCTGCCCCCTCGCCATTCTCCAGACGCCGCCTCTTCCGCCGCTCCCGCCGCTGCCGAGCTTGCAGCTCCCACTTCTTCTGGTGGTAGCGCAGCCAGACCAGTCGCTCTTCCTGCATGCGGTGGACAGCATATGTGAGACGAGCCAGAGACCAGCACAGGCCTCCCAGCCCCCCAACATTGAGTCCTCCATCCCCCAGCTCCACATCATGTCCCTGCCCCAGCTATGAAGCCACCACTGCCCTCCTTTTCTCCATCAGTAGCTATATTTCTCCTTGTAGCCCTGAGCCACAGGCGTGCAGGGAGTTTCAGGAGATTCACAAGCTGCTTGGGTGGACGAGCACAGCCTCAGGGCAACTCCTGCCCAGTCTACTCACCTTGGTGGTACCCAGGAGTGGTGGTGGACCCAGGATCTCTCGCCAGGACTGGGATAGCTCCAGGTATTGGGACATGTGCTGGCTTTCCTCTGCTGCAGGGACTCGCTTCCGCTTATTTGCGATGGGGACCAGTGGCTGAAGGGTCTTGACAGCCCCAAAGTCCTCTATGTCACCAATCTGCGAGCGGGGCGTCCCCTCCAGTGGCTGGTTGGCAAGGACCTGAGGGAGCAAGGACAGCAGGAGGATGTGGGTTGCAGAAGAGCCCCACCAGCACAGCCAGCACCCTCCTCTCACCCTCTTTACCTGTCTCTTGCCTTCCAAAGTAAAGAGCTCATTGATTTTTTTCTGTTTATACACATCATTCTTCTCCAGGAGTTTCTTGTGGAGCCAGTCAGGGTGCCGGACACGCGGCACGGGGTTCTTTACCTGGAGAGCATCTCCAAATCACACCGAGTCCCCCAACCAAAGCTCTCCTCCTGCCCCCCGCACTGCCCCATACCTGCTGCAGGGCTGCGGGAATGGTGATGATTTTCTGGATGGTGCTGCCCAGTCTCTCAATGTAGTAGTCCCAGTCCAGGATCTGTGAAGACAGCAGAGTAGTGGGAAGCAAAGAAAACTGAGCAGAAGGCCACCAGATACAGGATCAAGCACCTCCCCAGGACCCCCCACTCCCAGCATCGCACTTTGCAAGCACAAGTAGCCACTGCAAGGGACGAGCCCTTGACCCAGAGTGGGGGCCATCCGCAGGGATGCCCCACTCACCGCACGGATGTTGAAGTCCTGCAGTGAGGGGCTCTTCAGCCATTTTCGGAGGTAGTGTTTGCGCACGCTGGGCTCAGCTTGGAAGATGGCAAGGGGGATGGCCCTGGGGAAGGCAGGAAAGCAGTTGTTACCCTCTCAGCACAAGGTCCAGACAGCACACGATCGCTTCTCCCAGCCTGCAGAGACCCTCCAGGCTTTTCCTCCCACCCCTCTGAGGCCACTGTTCAGCAGCAGATCATCTTGCTCATGGTCTGAGCCATCAGACAGGTGATCACTTGGCCACCACACCAACTCGCTCACCTCCTGCTACTCTGCCCTTCCCTTCTTGATTGCCCCTCACTGACAAAAGCCCTGGCCTCTCCAGACGAGGTTACCTCTCGGTGACCGGAGACCCTTCTGGTTTCTTTGAAATTATGAACCGGCAGCTCAGCCCTGCATCCTTCACCATCTGGTCCCCCAGGAACTCTGCCAGGCGCTTGGCAGTGCTGATGGAGGTGGACTTCTGCTCCCCATAGTCCTCCAGCTTGCGTGACATGGACCGGTTCTCCGAGATCAGCTCAAACAGCTCCGAATCAGGCATGTTGGCAGCCTGAAAGGGAGGTAGAAACCCCAAAGCTAGCAAGAACCCAATGATCAAACCAGATACGAGGAGCACCTCCACCCAGTTGGTGTGGGTCTTTATGTGGAGCCTGGAAATTGCTACCTGTTGCAGCTGCCAACGTGACCTAGTGAAAAGGGAAAGCGTGGGTTTGAGGCTTGTATGGCTTTGTGCCATGGCTGGGCTGTGGCAGCACTGCTTTGCATTGCACACATAAAGTAGTTTGGCTCACCAAGATCTTGTACTCATTGAAAATGGAAGGACCCAACCAGGCTCCCAGTCCCTTTCATCCCCCCAGTTTCTTGTATTTTCTCTGCTCTCCCCAGTAATCATACAGCTGATGTTTCTGTGCTCCTCATAAAACACTCTGCAGGCAAGTGGCTCTGTCATTCTTATGCCCTCAGCCAATGTCCTTGGGGGATGAGGGCCACCAGACCAGCTCCACATGACTGGAGAAGGACATCACACACCCACGATTACGGCTGAATGAAGAGCCCTTCCACTAAAAGACACTAAACAGCAGCCCTAAAGAAACAAAGCAGCAGAAATAAGATGGATATGATCATCAGAGGCACAGTGGACCTCCTACTCTGTGCAAGCAAAGTCCACCCTCCCCACAGTGCCCACCCAACCAGTTCTGACACTTCCTCTCCAGCTCCACCTCGGGAGCACAGATGTGCTGAGCTGCGCTTACCTTGCTGTAGAGCACATCCAGCCAGTAATCAGCCACCTTGGCCACAGAAGCATAGACCTCCTCCAGGGTGCTGCCTTTCAGAAAGGCTTCAAATACAGAAGACTGGAATATCTTCACCAGCTGCAGTTCTCCCCGGCGCTTCACCTCAAATCCCTTCAGCTCAGCCAGGGACCCGTCCTCATTGAATACCGCATACCTAGGAGACACAGCGTGGGCAAGACCCGGCCTGTGCCAAGGGACACGTCCTCTAGGATCCCCCTGGTGTCCCTCCTGCCAGGGAGCTCCTCCCCATGCCACCATAGTGCATTCAACAGAGCTGCGGTGCTCTGCGCTGGATGATCTCAGAATATCTGCCTCAGCCAAACCAAGCCCTACCAACCATTTCAGTCTGGTCTGCAGAAAGCACATCAGCTTCTGCCTCAGCTCATCCATGCCAACTGTGTGAAATCTTAGTTGCACACAGGTAAAGGGTGGGAGGTGAGAGCCTGGGTGGGGAAATAGAGGAAGTTATTAGGAAGAGGTTTAGAGATGAAAAGGAAGATTTGTCAGCTTCAGAAAGGGAAGCACCTAGGAGAAGCATTACTAGAGTTATGTGAGCTCCTGAGAGATGGGAAGGCAGGAACTGATGAGTGTAAACAGATTAGGTTGAATATAAGCATCATGAGAAGGCCTCAGAAGGAAAGTCAAAGTTCTCCTGCATGCCTCAGATCATGTCTGGTCATCAAGTTGGAGAAGTGTTGTTTTGCTGTTACATTCTAAAATTTATTGCCATGTTATGGCACTGGAGACAAGTACATAGCTGGATTCAACGATGATCTGGTGTAAGGCACTCGGCATTTAAAGCCAGCGAATCAAGTCTGCTTGCCAGCTCCAGGGGCAAGGACCAATGTGCCCCACATGCACAAAGGGAAAGAGACCCTCAGTCTGTTATCTGGGGAAAGAGATACTATTCCAAGCTTTGAAATCTCACCTTTTCTTCAGCTTCTTGCCCTCCTCCTTGGAAGCTGGGAGGATCATGGCCAGGTATGGTCCATCCACTTCAAAAAAGATGCTGTTCTCCGAGTGGGTGACATAGGTGAGAGAGGCTGGGTCCTGCAGTTCCTGGTACTGATCGTTGGTGAAGCCTTCCTATGGGCACAGCCCCAGGAGAACAGCTTCACTCAGCCACCCAGTTGATTACATCAGGAGATGCCCCTGGGGCACACCCTACCCAGGGGGTCACTAAGCACCCCTCTGAAAGCGATGGCACAATTTAGGACTCAAAAAATCAAAACATATGACGTGCCCATTGACAAAAAAAAATGCTTTGGACCCTAAAATTATGGTTTTTTGTCTTACAAAGCTGAAGCAAGCAGAGGACAGGTTTAGACCTTGCTCTAGTCTGGACTCCCTGCCTGCACAGGTAAGCCTTAGCCCTGCTCTCACACACCACCCTCTGCTTAAGCAATGTCTGAGCCTCTTCCTCTGCTCAGAGGCTCTCCAGGGCAGAGAGCAGTTGTGTACCGTGCAGGGCCATCAGCCCCCACCTCCCGCTCGCTACTCGGGGAGCAGAGATGAGAGAGTCCTCCCTTGTCAGTCCTCCACCTCCTTTTCCCCAGGCTACAGAGCTGGCCTGGATGGGGTCCACGCTCACCTTCACCAGGATGTTCAGCATGGCACCTGGGTAGGAGATTGTCACCTTCGGTTTCTTTGCACTGGTTGACTTTATGACAAAGTTCTCCGGGAAGCTGTTGGGGAGGACACACCAAATCCCATCGGTATCCAGTTCCAGAGGTCTCCTAAGGACAGAAGGAAGGTCACTGTCAGGAGTGGAGGACAGGTGAGGATCAGCTCTGTGTCCCCCATGAAGGCAGAGGCAGCCTCTTGCATCCACTCTCCAGTCCCCTCTGCAAAGAAACCCTCATAACACAACAGAATAGCCACCGCAGTGTCTGAAATCTGAAACTTCAACATTAACTGCTGAAAGCCCAGGTGTGTAACATGCTCCCACATCTGTTCCAGATGCAGACAGACCTTTCTTCCCCAGCTCAGCACGTACCCGATCTGCTCGATCAGTTCCCTGGCCTGGGTGATAATATTTGCTCCCGTGAAGCAGACGATGCCAGCCATTTCCATGGAGTACCAGCGAGCTCTGCGAGCAGAGGAAACAAAGTGAAGTGTTCCCTCCCAAACCCAGCTACAGAAAGGGCAGGAGGACCTCAGAGGAGGAAGGGCAAGAAACACATCAACACTAGCCATTGGTAGATTGCTCTCCTTGCCCTAGTTATGATGCCTCAGAAAAGCTGGAAGCACTAACAGACAGGATTCCCATCACTTATGCCCAACACTTAATGTCTGGCAGGAGCCTCCAGGATGAGAAGTCAGTGGCAGAAACACGAGGAGAGTGCTACAGGCAGCACTCACCTTCATCCTGGTGCTTCAGAAGCAAGTGAAGCAAGTACAGCCTCAAGTGACAATCCCAGTGTCCAGCGGACCCCAGCATCCCCCCATGGGAAGACTCACCCTTTCCGCATGACGTAGCCATAAAAAGAGTTGAGGATGCACTTGTGGGCCAGCTGCAGGGAGTCATACAGGATTTCCATGTTCTTGCAGCGCTTCACTTCAGAGGCGTCTCCTGTCTCCACTGCTGCAGACAGCTTCTTCTTCCACACCTGCAAGCCACAGGCAGAGGTGCCTCTAACACCAGAGGCAGTGTAGGCCCACTGAT